CCCCGGGGGGCGGGTGCTTAGTTCAGGCCCGCCGTCGGGGCTTCTGCCCAGAAGGACTCCTGGGAGCGGGTCCCCTGCTCGTAAAAGCCGGGCCCCAAGGGACTTCTTGCTCCCTGCTTGTGGGCGCGGCCCAGAGTGTTCGGAGACCCAGGAGCTGGCAGGACGCCTCCCCGCCTGGAGCTAGGCGGCATCTCGCACGCGTGAAGAGGCGCACCTGGGGACCAGGTGAGCTGAGCGCTGGGGGCTCGGGTCTCGGAGGAGGCGGGCCTGGGGGTGCCCCGAGGGGAACCTGCAGCTGCCAGGCCCGACTCTGAGCGCAGTGGCTGCGGAGGGACACAGAGCGGTTCCGAAGCCCAGGGGAGGATGTGGCCGCTAGGAACCCTTCCAGGGGAGTGATTTTTTTTTTGATAGCAGAGATTAGCAACTGCTGTGGTATTTTTCTTAATTGATTCTTCTGATTGCAGATCAATAGTGCTAATTGGCACCCTGGCTCGGTTTGTTTTGTTGTGAGGCTGACTGGGGGCCCTGAAGGACTCCCTATGAGAAGACTTAAGGTGAAATAAAACACGTTGTAAGCCGTCCCTCGTGGGTGGCAGAAGGAGCGGGGCAGGGGTGGAGAGGGAGAGGGTTCCTCTCCTTTCTCCTTACCCTCCAGCTCTCACAAGGTGGCCAGTGAGCTAGGGGGAAATCCAGCCGTTGGACAGGGCTGGCTGCCACGCTGTCCCTGCTAGCTCCTGGGGGCTGTCTCTGGCTGGAAAGTTGGACCCAGAGTAGGGACAGTCCTCTTCTCTGGACTTCTCTCAGCAGCTGTAAGGCAGCCTGAAAAGTCACTCATCTAGTCCGTGCATCATGAATGTTTCCAGAGCACCTACTATGTTCCAGGCTCCAGATGGAGATGGCAGGAGACGGCCAGTGATGGACAAGGCAGCTGTAGTCTGTCTTCATGGAGACACTGGCACTGAATGACTGAGTCAGTCAGGATTGAGCTGCCAAGCACTGCATCTACTCTGGCTGTTTATGCAGAAGGGGACTTCTTGCAGGGTATTAAGTGGCCTTTTAAAAATTTTTTAAAGATTAAAAAAAATATTGTCACTACATTTTTATTTTTTATTTAAAAATTTTTATGTATTTATTATTTTATTCTATTTATTAAAAACACTTCAATGGCCTCCAGAACTGCTGCAGGTCTGAAGAAATAGACATGAGGCTGAGGTCCCAGGGGTGGCTCTTAGGGACCACGCTGCTAAGAGTGTCCTATTCAGGCCACACTGGGGCAGCTCCTGCCACAGTTGCATATTCTAGAATCCTGATGACTCTGCAACAAAACAGGAGCCTCATGTTTGCCTGTCTCCCCTCTTGGCCCGGTTCTGAATTTGAGTTTCAGACGAGTCCATCAGTTGATGGAACGCAAATCAGTATGGAATCCTAGCAGCAAGGGAGTCTGTGCATGCAGGCACTTGCTGTCTCGGAGGGGCTCGCTGGAGCAGGAGATGGGGGTGGATTGTGGGTGAGCAAGCTGCACTTTCAACACAGCAACCAATTACACAGTTTGTTCATTAAGTAACTTTGTGGTTAGTGCCCCACAGAAAAAGCAGAGGCAATTTTCAGGAGGAACTTTTCTAAACTCTTGGCAAGAATCAAAGGGAACCGTGACTATAAAACTGGATGCTGGGACCACACGAGGACCCTGATGATCAGGGCCTCCAGTTCCAAAGGCATGGCCCCCAAGTCTCCCGGAACTTGGCTGTGCTCCCTTACCTTCCCAGTCCCCAGGCCCACAGGGCGCTCATCGCTGTGCTCCTGGCACACCTGGGTAAGATCCTGGTGATCTCTGTTCTGCCTCAGACCACAATCTCCATGCCCTTTTCAAATGGTCCAGCAATGGTGCGCAAGGTTCCCTCTTCTCCACATCCTCACTGGCACTTGTCATTTTTTGTCTTTTTGGTAACAGCCGTTCTAATGAGTGTGAGGTGATATCACTTTGTGGTTTTGATTTGCATTTCCCTGATGATTAGTGATGCTGACCATCTTTTCATGTACTTGGTAGCTATTTGTATGCCTTATTTGGAAAAATATCTACTCAGTCCTTTGCCTATTTAAAAAATTAGCTTTTTTTTTTGTCTATTGAGTTGTGTAAGTTCCTTATATATTTTGGAGACTAACAGCTTATCAGATATGTGGTCTGCACATATTTTCTCTCATTCAGTAGGTTGCCTTTTCCTTTTGTTGATTGTGTTTGTTGTGCAGAAGCATTTTAGTTTGATTATAGCCCCACTTATTTACTTGTGCTTTTGTTGCCTGTGCTTTTAGTGTCAAATCCAAAAAATTCGTTGGCAAGACCCATGTCAAGGAGGTTTCTTACATTTTCTTCTGGGAGTCTTAAGGTTTCAGATCTTACATTTAAGTTTTTAATCCATTTTCGAGTTTACTTTTGTGTGTGCTGTAGGATAGGGGCCCGCTTTCGCTCTTTTGCGTGTGGATGTCCAATTTCCCAGTACCTTTTACTTGCAGAGGAGATGGTCCTTTCCCACGTGTACTCTCAGTGCCTTTGTCAGAAGCTTGTTGACTGTGTGTGTGGGCGTATTTCTGGGCTCTCTGTTGTTTCCCTGGCCTCCGTGTCTGTTTTTGTGCTAGTACCGTACTGTTCTGATTACTATAGCTTTGTAATATAGTTTGGAATGAGGAAGTGTGATGCCTGCAGCCTTGTTCTTCTTGATCAAGATTGTTGTATCTCAGCATTAGATTTCTACTTGTTGAAAATTCTGTCTCCCAGGCCCTGCCCCAGACCTACTGAATCCACATCTCTTGGGTATGGGACCAAAACACACGTGTTTTCTGCAGGCTCTCCAGGTGACTCGGGCCCCCGGGACTGGGGACCACTGCTCTGAGTGTACAGGTTAGAGGGAGGCGGTGCGGCACAAGAGAGGCGCAGGGGACTCAGGGTCACAGCCTTGTTTGGCCTCTCCCTCTCGTTCAACCTTCTGATTCTAGTTGTCCTGCTCTGAGGCTCAGTTTCCTGACCTGAAAATGCGAGCGATGATGTCATTTATTTCTCGGGTTGGTTGTGGCTGTGAAGTAATGCATGCAGAGCCTCTACCAACTGGAAGGCACTGTTTAAACACCTGTGTGACCCTTGCGAGCCTTGGGGAGCATGATGTTTAGGAGGCAGAGTTCAACAATTTCCAGTAATTAAAAAAATTAATTCTTTAATTTAATTAAATTAATTCAAGTTTCTCCAGTGACATTCAGAGGGATTCAAATACGCAGTCCACAGCAACGCTGGTCAACCCCTTTCTTCCTTCCCACTTCCTTTCCACTTATAAACCCACTTCCCTGGTGCTCCACTGGGCCCCAGCCCCTCATTCCCCCAATGTCCCGAAAGCCCCATCACCCAGACAACAGTAAGGCCAGCCACCTCTTCAAAGTCATCTTCACCTCTTCGAAATCATCCGCCCCGACAGCCACCAGATGAGTACAGCTGCATGAGTGACGCCAGAGGAACCAGCAGAAGACTTGCCCAGAAAAGCCCAGCCCAAATTTCTGATCCACAGAATAGTGAGCAAACAGAAGGGTGGTTGTCTGCAGCCACTAAGTTTGGGACCTGTTTGTTTGGCAGCAATGGATAATTGACACATGGAGAGTGTACACATTTTAACTGGGGATGTCTAGGGACCCCATGCCTTAACCCAAGCCTGAAACGTGTACATTTCAGGCAGTAGAAGGCAACTGAAGCTCAGATTTGGAGCAGAAGCAGACTCCTTCTTCCTGTCGATCAACCACTCTAGGTGAATGGCCACCAGTATGGTCTGAATGTAAGGCTGGACCCAACGTGCATACAGAAGAGCCACGAGCCAGCCCTACTGGCCACAGGTCAGGTGGGGAGCAGCTGGATAGCGGAGACCAGATTGATGGTAAACGGCTGTGCAGAGGGTGTGGCTTTAAAGCGAGAGAGTTCCAGGTGGGAATGCCAGCTCTGCCGCCTGCCAGCTGTGTGACCCCGGGGCCTCTGCTTTCTCCTCTGGGAGAGGACGGTCGAGCCTCTCTCGGGCTCTCTGGGAAGACTGGCTCAGATTCGGTGAGGCAGTACATGTGCAGGGTCTCGCTCTGGGCCGGACACTGAGAAGGTGCAGGGATGCTTGCTGGTGGGCACAGCAGCCCCACTGTTACAGCAGGGTTGGCTGATGGACGGGCGGGTGCAAGGGCCCCATCCAGGCCGTGTGTCCCCTTCAGCTGGGTGCAGTCTCCCAAACTTAAGGGGAAAAGAAGATTGGGAGCTGTGGTAGCTAGGTTACTGCTTAGGTGTCCCCCAGATGAGAGGGAACAGCAGGTGGAACCTGGACTGGCGTTGGGAGCAGAAGGCAGGCAGTCGGTCTTAATCCTGTTCCTGTGTGAGCCAGCATGTGGTGTGGGTTTTAATTTAAAGCTCATGTTTAGTGAGTTGATAAACAGGAGCGCACACCTCCTGCCCTCCCACGCCCTGAGCCCCACAAGAACAATTATCCTGGAGAGAAGATCAAAGGAACATATGGAAATGAGTTCTAATAGTGTGCAGGGAGCAGGCAGCGCCTGCCTTCCCAGGGCGGCTTTGATGGGGCTCCAGCGGAGAGTGTTCCCACGCCAGCAGGTGACAGAGGTCAGCTGAGGCCTCCCTTCCTGCTTCACTTGCTGGCTCGGTCCACACTGGAATGGGGACAGGTGGGGTGCTTTTTGATCTCCTTTTAACCATGTGGTTGGAGGCACACTCTCCACTGGCGTGGTCTCTATGGCGTTGTGTGCGGATGGTCCAGACGGGCAGGCTGGTTGGGTGTTTCTTTGCCTCCTTGCAAAGGCTGATGCAGAGGGGACACATAGGAGGCCCTTCGGTCTCTGTCTAAGATCTCCAGACCCAACTGGGAAGGTGGTCATTTGGATTCCAAGTTACAGTTCACGGTGATCCATTTCAAAGTGGTCAGGCAAGAGAAGGACTCGTTTGACTTGTGGGCCTGACCTGTGGGAAGAACAGGGAGTAGGCTCCCGGGGACCAGACCACCATCACCAACAGGACTCTCCTTGCCTCTCATCTCCTGTCAGTGCTACTCTCTCAGACCGATCTTCTCTGCGAGACGGAGCAACCTGTCTGCCCGTAACTCCCGTCTGTCGCTTTCCATCCTCGTCCCAAGTTGAAAGGTCCCTGGGAAGGGCTCCCCTGTCTGCTCCTGCACTGTGGCCGGCGGGGCGCTCTGGTG